ATCCGCGGTGAGGACCGTCAGTGTAGTGGACGCCGTGGGGAGTTGGAGTTGGGGCGGTCGGAGAGCCAGTAGCGGGGTTGTCGGGCTGTTGGTGCATTGGGCCCGGGTATGTTTGACGAGGCCGACCGCTCGCGGAATGTTCTTCGGCAGCGTGGGCATATTGAGAGGGGTTGCGGGTTGGCGCTGAGGGTCAGGGGCGTCTGAGACTTGTAAGCTTCTCTTTTGGCTTCGGCCGTAACGATCCAGTTGGCTTCATAGACTGCCGCTCCAGTCCCTACGGCTCTTTTCCAGGCCTTTCGGTCCTGTGCGAGGTCTTCCTAAGTCTTGGAGTTGATTTGCAGCCGCTTCAAGAAATTCTTCAAGGTGTATTTGGAGCGGTGGGTTTGACCTCTTTGTCGGTTAGCACCCGTGGCAACACCTCTATAGAAGATTTGTTTTGGTAGGCGCTCATCGTCCCTCCTAAAGAGCTGGCCGCTCCATCGTACTCGTGGTTTCCTCAGCATGGTGTGGATGCTGAGGATTCTGGTCCGTTAGAGAACTTCCGTGTTCGGGACACTGTCCTGCCACCCTAGTTTTTTTTCTGCCGGCGAAAACTGGGGTGGAAGTGATTGAATTTCCGTGCATGTTCTAGACTGTCCAGGTCACCGCACCATACCGCAGCGTCGTCACGACGATTGCTTTGTACCTCTTGGGTTTGGTATTAATGTTGAGACCGTGACGACCTCATGCAGAGTTCTGCAGCCGGCCGAGGGCCTGGCTGACTTTGGAGATCTGGCTGTCCACTTAGTCGTCGATTTTAACGCTTCGGGGGAGTGTGCCGCCTGAGCATACGAAATTTTCACGGTTTCTAGTTGGGTGCCGTTGATTTGGATACCAGAAGCATTGTGTGTAGCGTCGGGTGGCGGTTGATGCGTGACCACCTTTTTGTCCGTGTTGATTGTTAGTCCTCAGTTGACGCAGCCAGGGGTGAAGAGGCCCAGACTCCTCCGCATGTCTGCTTTTGTCGTGGTGTTGAGTGCTCAATCGTCCGCGATGGACAGGTCATGGACCGTAGATACACGCATTGGAGCCCGCGTGCGCCGGCTATTAATATGGCTGCCTGTCCAGTAGGCGATGCCGCTCCCGAGTCACTCATCACGGTATGCATCCATCAACATGACGAGAACATGGACTGAAGAGGGTGGGTGTGAGCACGCAGCCCTGCTTCACTTCGTCTGTTACCGCAAATACTTCTGAGACGGCCCCGTTGTCCGTAGCGCACGCCATTATCCTGTCGTAGAGCTGACACACCATATGCGTGAATCGTTCAGGACAGCCGAATTTCTGCATGACTTTCCGGAGTCCATCGCTGTTCAGTTTGTCAAAGGATTTCGTCGGATCCATTTGGGCGATGTAGATGCGGGTCCGCATCCCCTGATACTGCTCTTGTAGCTGGTGGGCGGAGATCATAGTTCCGTGGTGCTGCCGAAAGCCACATTGGCATCCTGATGGAAGTCCTTGTTCTAGATGGCTGTTGAGGAGGATGCGAGCGTAGATCTTCCCGGCGATGTTGACCAGCAAGATTCCTCGGTGGTTGTCACAGACTTTTCGGCTCCCTTTTCAATTTAAAAATGTACGATTGTCGCATCATTTGAAACCTGAGGAACTTGTACTTGGTGCAACATCTTCTGTAAGAACTTTGTAGGTCTGTCCATCAGTCGGGGCCGCCGTGCCTGTAGGTTTTAACCGGGATCGCGTCGCAGCCTGGTGACGATGACGAATCTGGTTACCCGCAGATGTAGGTGCAGGCTGTTGAGACGATGTCATTCTGGATGGCAGAGGCGACGCCTACATCGAGTCGCATTGCCTTTGCGCGGCCGCTCCGGAAGGTGTTGCCGGCACCCACCTCCTCCAGTTGGCGTTGCTCAACAAGTGGGTGTCGCTAAGAACAGTGATGTCCACCTTGTAGCTCGCCAGTTTTCTAGTGACAAACTCTGTCCTCCGTTCTGGTTGGTTACTCCCCAAATTGTCTAAAACGGGACGAACATTCGAAGCTGTTAGAGTGAGCGGACCTACCCTAGCAGCCTGTATGGCCGGACGGGGAAATAAGGACGCGGGTTGTTGTTGTTGTTGTTCTTTATTGTCCTTCGATTACGAGTTTGGCATCTATGAGCCACGTTATGCTTGCAAATAGCGCGATTTCATGCCATTTGTTTAAGGCAGCATTTTTAACCCCATCTCCGTCAGGAGTCAACTACTGATATTCTTAAATAGGGCTATTTAGGCATCCCAGACGGCTGTCGAACCCCATTGTCGTCCACGGCTTTTGTTTATTGGGAGGATGAACCGGAGTTAGTCCAGACCGCCTACGGAATTCCATATCACCCTCTCCGTAGGACATTTTGAATTGGAAGGGGAATGGGGAATGAGAGAAAAGGGGAAGGGATGGGAGGGCATGGAGGGAAAGGGGTGGGAGAGAAGCGGTAGGAAGGAAGAGAGGAAAGGGGGGAAGGGAATGGGAACAGTTACCGGGTGTGGGGAACACAGCGCCGGATACCCTAGTCTTCTAGCTCCCCAGTCGTGACGGTTAAGGGGTGTGGCCGGTGGGCAGAGCCTAGCTTTGGGGAGCCACATACGTGAGTTGGGTGCCACTTGAGAACCGCAAGCAGCACTCATCATTTACGTAGTGCGACCTACCACTCATGTACGGATGCTGCCTACTTGGGCACCCCTGTGTCCCTATCAAAGGTAGGTGATGTAACTTCTGCGTATTCCCCCCACGAGAACCATTATGCTGTCAGATCGATCATTTTAATGCCTCTGCCAAATCCACCCCCGATCTTTGCTCCCAGTCAGTGTTGACCACTTTCCACTTGTAGTGGGATTCGAGAGTGCTTCATTAAGTGCCGGTACTTCTGAATTGATGCCTTTTTCTGTCCCAGAAAGCCTTTTTTCCGTTAGCATTTTAATCCATACAGTGATGCTACATCTCTTATCTCCCTAATTAAATTCGCTTACAGTCATATGGATCCTATGTCAGGGAAGGAACTCCTCAAGAAGAGGCGAAAGCTGCGAAATCGCTACAAAAACCACTTTCTGTTGGACTTTGACAACGTTGAAGCATCTGCCTTGACAAGTGGCAAAGTCATGGATGCCCATGCTGGTGATCCTGCCGTTTTTGCTCTCTTGGCTACAGAGGCCGCCAGCACAGTTCATGCGACGAAGCGGAAGGAGACAGCTGCTGCTCCGCCTGTGACCTCAGCACCCCCACCCCTCATTCCACGCACCGACTTCTCGCCATTGCCCACCTCGGCTGCAGATCGCCCACGCGTTAATGATGCCTCTCTTCGGCTACAAGAGCAGCAGCAGCAGAACTGTGTTACCACAACTGCCGGCAACCAAACTGTGAAACAGGATGTCATGTTGACTAGTGCCAACAATGCACCGATTGAGACAGTGAAGGTAAAAGTCGATCTGCGAGCCCCCCTTTAGATTTCCGCCACCCTAACCACCACCACCACCACCACCACCACCACCACCACCACCACCACCACCACCACCATCACCACCACCACCACAAATGCGGGGTCGTTTAGTAGTTGAACTGATGGACTTTCGAGCATAATGACTATTTAGCGATTGGAGACGCTGAAATGCCAATGTTTGCACACAGTTACTTTCATGGAGATTTCCTAAAATATCTTTAAGGGACACATTGCTTGAAATTTTAATTTAGACATGCTACTCCTTAAATATTTGGATAAAATTATCAATAATGTTGAAATCATAATGTGCACCTTTTGCCTGATTGTTTTCTCATTCCGAGTGGTTAAACTTCGCCGCGACGTAGCCCATAACGTCAAAACCTGGTCAGTGTTCTCAACAAACAGGGTATAATTATTTTTGAACAGGCCAAATAAATTTATCCTACAGTTCGCGTTTTCTGCCTGGTACCGACCCCGTGGCTCAGTGCAAAACAGAACTCCGGAGTTTGTCTTCGCTACCTTCCCACTTGACTGCCCATGCCGGTTAGCCAATGAAACCATACCCTTTTAGCTGGTAGTTAGTCGCCCTTAGGGCCAGAAGTTGTCGGCCATCACTGGTTCACAAACAAGATTTGCCTTATCCCTAAAAGTGATCGCAGGCAGAAAGCCCCAGGATTATTTTCTTAAAAGGGGAGGCCTTGTGCTTTTGCCTACTATGTAATTCATATGGGCTTTTCGAGGCTTTATCGGATGCCTATTGTTTAGCCGTTTTGGATGCTTAATGCACGTCCTTGTGTTGTTTGCCGTGTGGTCTTATGCAAAGACGAACGTATTTTCTGCTTTGTGAATATTTGGACAGAAAATTTCAGTACAGCTGCCGTTGTATGCCGCCCCACAGGTGTCAGCAAGTGTCGTTAGGTGGCGGTGAAAGCTAAAAAGTGTTGATCTAGAAATAGATTTGCGCTAAAAGTCACTTATGTAGTCGTAGAAGTCTCTCTAAACCGCACTGCAAGTTTTTGTACCTTCGTTCTTTAACATATAGGTTATTTGTGCGCTTTGGGGCACCTTTTTGAAAAACTGACCTCGAGATGCTTGAAACAAACGTACGGTTCCTCATAAATACTCGGGACACTTTCCTAGTCCTCCATCAAACACTAATTTGTTATAACCGGCTCCGCTTGTCCCTTTTGTCCCTTCGTCCTCTTCGTTGCCAACAGCGGCAGGATGCCAATGTTGTAATCACAGGAACCTTTGTTGGAGGCAACACTAACAATTGCGGCCGTTCTGCTCCTCCGGCCGGTATCGACCCCACCAGCATCAGTCTGTCTGGCTGGAGCGAAGACGCTGCCTCTCTGGGTACGCTAGACCGGCTAGTGGCCCGAGGCCTGAATGGAGGCCGTCAGGCCTGCGGCAGCGCCTCCCCTGAGACCGCAGGACGCGGCGATTACTGTGGCACCGGCGCAGGCGTAGGCACCACGATTGCTGCGGACACTGGCAGAATTGTGACCCAACTGTGCGGGGAGACCCTCTCGAACGGCACTGACATACCTGTTAACTCTGACGGTGGCGGCGCCCGAACTGCTGAGACTGAAACTGGTCGTTCATACACTTCCTCCCTCCTCACTACATTGGGTGGTGGTGGCGGCGTCGGAGGAGGAGGAGGCGCCAGTCTGCGCGGTACTCGTGGCCTCAGTACCAGCAGGACGGGGCAGATCAGCAGCAGTGGTATTGTCGGTGATGGCAGCAGTCTCAGTGGTGGCAGTGCGACTGGTCTGATCCTCCAGCACCTGCATTTGCCCCAACGGAATATAGAGGTGAGATTGTTATTTTTTCCAAACTCCCTAGTGGCCTCATTTCTTAAGCACTTGTTTCTGTGTTTGCCGAAATTTGCAGACTGCTGATTGTGTCAGAAAGGCACTTGTACACATAAATGTCCCTCTTACCTTCTTGCCTGTTGCTGAGAATGGTAAGTTAAAAGACACGTGCAGTTACCTCCAGTCTTGCGCCGTCGGTCGATGATTAACTAACACGCCTTATAACTGTCGCATGTTTTGTTGCTGCCACTACCTCTGACGATGGACACCTGCACAAGTTCGAAAGCTCAGAACAATAAACAGAATCAATAGTAGTGAAAATGCCGAATAAACAGAATGTTCTAGCGCTCGGCAACCTTTCTATTTCACTTATTGGGGTTGTCCTTAGGATAGCACAGCTGTTCGTTAGACTCGCATCGGCTCTTGAATCTTAAACCTTGTATCAGATACGGTCTCGCAGATTTATACTCTACGAGGAATTTTCGCATACCAACAGTCTTATTTCGTGACTGCTCTGGTTACTTCTTATTTCACGAAACTGCGCTTTGCCCACTGTATACGTCTACTGTAGGTTAAGAAACTGACTAGCAAGAAATAAAAGCTCAAGTAAATTCCTGAACGGGAGCACCCTGTCTCTTGGATAGCATTCTACCGATGACTTATGTAATTGTATCCAACTAAAAAATCACCCCATGAGTAACGTATACATGCTCGTTGATTTTCCTTTCTCCTCTAAACTCACTTTTATTTTGTGGGAAGGGTGCGCAAATTTTTCAGCCCATTTTGTAGGGAAATAACTTTTGCAATTTTGTGCTTGAGGGGAGTATTTCGGGGTTTTTTTTAAAAAATCACTAATTCGCATAAGTCCGGAAACAGCCTACGTTTTTATTCGCTCTTAAAGTCCTTGAACTGCGTGCCATGCATATCTGATGCACATTTGCATAACCCCACACGTTTCCATAAGGAGGCATCCTGGTGTTCACATGCATTCGCAATAAATTTGCCCACTTTGGATATCTTGTGAGCATCAATGGTAGAATCCAGAACAGCAGCGCTACATGATTACTCACGCAAGCGCCTATAAAATTATCCTAATTATAACATATTTCTTTGAAAACCGAAAGGCTCTCATCAAGTATAAAGTCGAAAAGATATGTACTTTTATGTAAAGTGAATAAAAATGATTTTTTGCACTCTTCACAAGATAGGGTTAAAGTTATGCGTTTGCCGACAACC